GAACGAAAAAGAAGCACATGGGCGACTCCGTGACATGGAATCTGTTCACCACATTACACATTACCTTAGCATGAACTTCAATAACAATAATTAAACGTAAAAAAAACCCTAAAAAAACACCCATGACTTACTAAGAAAAACTCCACAAAACTAAGTAATTTTATCCCAAACAAAACTACATTTTTGCAGTTGTTCTCAAAAGAAATACCAGAATTGAATGTACAGCTGTTTACAATAAAATAATTTCAAGTCAAACGTTTTCTGAAGACATTTTTTATGTTAAAACCTGTGAAAATGATTTGGCACTCATCAATATTTTCGAGAGAAACTTGAAAGAATTATTAATGTCTTAAAATCTCTTTCTTTCCTACTATCGCTTTTAAAACAACACATAAAATATCACTTAACTGTTGCACACCTGGACAGTCTAAATTCAGGTGCAAGTCAATTAAGATAGTGTAATGTTGGATTCCAAGCCACAACGGAATTAAAACAAACAGCAGAAACACTTCAACAGCCATATCGGTACTAGAGATGGTTTCCACTGACAGGTGCATGATCCAATATATCGATCTGAGGACTAGAATTTGTGATCACTTCCAGAAAAAAAAATGGTAACAGGGTTGCCGTAATAACAGTCTGTTGAAACTGAGACGCACCCAAGCAAACTGAAAACACGAACTTGGGAAGAATCAAAAACCAACAAGTCTCCTTGTTTCGACTAAACATTGTCTATTCAAAAATACGACAATTCTAATAGAATTCACATGTCAGGCATTATATAGAGTGAATCACTCCCGAATCAAATGTCGTGATCTCGTTCCCGCGAGACACCAATTCTAACGCGAACAGTATAAAGGATCTAACCTAAAATATTGAATGTTGATCCCTATCTTTAAGAATGTAGTGGATCTATACTAAAAATATATATATGAATATCTTACTAAATATATGATGTCTGATCAAAATGTATCGGAAGTGATGCTATAAAAAGAAAACAGTACATATCAATTCGGCATTTAATCTCCTTCGAAGTTTTATCCGGCGTCGTTTCCATCAATGGAAGCATTCCTGCGACTTTTTTTTGAATAGCGAGAAGCTGTCACGTCGCATTCTCTTGGACAGCCTTGACATCTTGAAATCTTGTTCCTTTCAAGTGGGAATCAATTTTTGAAGAGGAAAAAGTGACAAGGAGTGATATCTGCGGAATATGATGTTAGTTGGATTTGGGAATGTTGTACTTAATCCAAAACCGCTGCACAAGCCATGGCTACTGATGGAACTTCAACGGTGTGTTGAGACGACCACGCTCTACACATTTTCTTTCCAACCACTTCTATAAACAACGGAAGTTGTCGAGAACTTTATAACTTATTGTGTATGCACAACAAAATTCATGATCAATCTGTACCAAGCGACTTAACTCGCTGTATTTTACTTCTGTTACCATAGAAACAGTTCTGATACTTTGTAAATTGTTTAATTATTATTAATATTAGATATACATATAAAGCAATACAACTGCATGGATTTTTTTTATAGTAATTAAAGTAGAAAGGCTAGCACTAAAACTATTTATTCATATAGGATTTATATATTTAGCTGTGAACTGAAATAAAAAATAAGATAAAATTAATTATGAAGGAGGACTGTCTTCGACATCGAATGATATAGCATGAATCCACTAACCTAATCGAACTAAAAATCAAACACAGACAGTGCATTAGCAAGATTATAATGTTCTTAAATAGCTTCGTCAAATAGAGACTTTCATATGTATTATGGGGTCCACCCTTTTCGGATATAATGGACTCGTCCTGCTGCCATAAAATAGCCACAGTCAGGCAGAGAAGAGGAGTCGTACCGGAGTCGTAGGGTGTCGGATGGAGTGAAGTAACCTCTTGTAGAAGTCAGTTACATGCACGTAGACTCTAAGGAAGTCCTACTTCGAGACTGTATATATCTATCTGTATTTGCTACTAACCGTGTTCCTGGATTTTACTAACAGCATTACCTTTTGTATTTTGTGTAAATACATTTAATTTCTTAGCTTAAATACTTGCGTTTGTCATTTATTGGATACCTATTTTTCACGCGGGATCCACAACAATATGACTGTCATGCATGGGGCCATAACCGTTCAGAAATATCTAAACTGTCAGTTGTATACAACCACTTCCTTAGATCGATGACGAGCGCATGATGTGTGTAGGTCTTAGCAAAGACCACCCATCCTCGGTCTCGTGGACTGGCGCTTCAGAATCACAAACAAAGAGCTGTTTCAAATAGGGTTGATGGACATATCACGTTGAAACATTGGTTCCCGTATGTTTACCGAAGTTAAGCAAGGTCGAGCCTAGATTAGTGACAACTAGGGAACACCAGGTGCTGTGCTGTAAGTTTGTATGTGTGAGTGGTGTAATGAATAATGACCCTGAATTGTTAATCGGAGAGCCGAGTTTCAGTTAGGTTCGATATATTTACCTAGACATTAATATCCTTGAGAAAGGTATGAATCTACTCCTCCACAAACTATGAGTTAATTAATAAGACTTGTATTACTAAATTGTTATTATCTCAAAAAAGTTCTTAAAGTCTAAAAATATTTTCTGGCTTTAAATAACTTGCAAAGATTTGATAAACCGTAGAAAACGAACCTATCAACCATCATTATCCCAAATAACAGAAACAATATCACACGAGGATTTTCAACAGCACCAAGAACTAAAATGGATAGCACATGTAACGCCAAGAGAGAATGTTGACATTATCAAGATGCTGACGTTCCACACAACTTCAAATAAAAGCCTACGAAGGAAACCCCCGTCAACACTGGAAAGAGCGATAACAGCTACTGGACTTGAGGAATCTATTTTCATTAAATAATGTTTTAAGAGAAAGATTTTATGAATTTCAACCGAGAAGAGCTTGTTCAAGGAATGTTGAATAATTAGTTATTAGGAAAATGCTAATATTATCATTACCATTATGACGTCCCAAAATGGCGGAAGAATTAGAAAATTTTAACTGAATCTCAACTATTCCCTCTCATGTACATACCATACAATATAGGCCTCGTTTCTTCAGTATATTGAAGTTTTATTTTCTGTCTATATCTTTATTGCCTTTTTTATTACTAAAGACGTTTAAAATATTTAACCTTTCATATTTTCAATCTTCGTGAAACTCTTTAGTTGCGTGATATCACAATAGAGAAATCCATTTAGAAGAAAACGTTGTGTGGTTTCTGGTTACAGATAACCTTTAATTAAACTTGTCTGCTAAAATGGCATATTGACTTGTGAACCGCAGGGTTCCGAATTCCTAACCTGTCAAAATCCACTTATACTTTCATCCTCTTAAGATGGGCGAAAGGGTCAGAGAGCAAAAACGGTCAGAGGCTAAAAAGGGTCAGAGACTAAAGTGATACCAGCCGGGCTTGTATTCAGCGAAGAATTGCTTTTCTCAGATTTTAACCTGTATATTTAAATCTGTGTTTCCATTAATACCTTACCTCCCAATATACTTCCGAAAATTCAAACCTAGATGCAAGCGTATTTGATATATTTATATAACGTCTAGGCGACCAGATAATGAGAATACATGTTCGATGTGAATATGATATATATATATATATATATATATATATATATATACATGTACATACATACATATATATATATATATATATATATATATATATATATATATATATATATATATATAGTTATAGTTATAGTTATAATAAAAATGTAGTTTTAATGTATGCTATATTTATGGGATAAAATGCTCGATATCGGGGATAGAGCGTATGTAAATAAAAAAGTGAACACTGAGGTCAACGCCGAGCAGTGAGATTCTGTTTCATGCTTGGATGCAATGATCATACACATGGCCTGAAGATTACGTTCAATTATGAAACAGACTGTCGCATTTCGGTGTTGATTTCAGTGTTCACTTTTATATATATACATATATGTATGCATATGTATCTCTCTCTCTCTCTCTCTCTCTCTATATATATATATATATATATATATATATATATATATATATATATATATATACACACACGCACATAAACATTTAGAACCTTATATATATATATATATATATATATATATATATATATGCAACTCTTTTGAGCAGAGAGAGACAGAAAGAGAGAGAGAGAGAGGGGGGGGGCAAGATAAAGATAAAGTGAATGTGTGCGTGACAATCTCGAAGTAGAACCTGTTTAAATATTCAGTTTTCGAAGTAGTAATAAGACATGAACTCGCGCACGCACACACACATACACACGCAGACACAGATATACACATACAGAAGCATATTTATATATGTATATATATATCTGTTACCTAAATATATACATAACCCTTTTATTTTTTGAGTGAGACGCAGTCTAATTTCCTCGAACAAAAGAAGAGAAGGAAAACTAATTTCAATAAAGTGTATTTTGTCATTGAACTTTGCATTTAAAAATGCTTTTCAAAATCCTGATTGTCGGAAACCTTACTAGGTAGACGGTTTTCGTTATTTATTTCTAAACATTTACAGCAGCTGAAAACTCTGATAAATTGGGAAAATTAATTACTATTTACATTATTTTCTCTTGAAATAGTGGTTATAATGACGTCTACAATATATACTAAAAATAACATGATTGCTTCCTTAATCTAGGAGATCATGTTGGTAATGGAGCAAAGGGCATAGAAACTGGTTATTCAAGTTTATCAGTAATAGGCTTTATTTATTGATTTCTTTTTTACAACTTATCAACAATTCGTAGGTTATTTAAAGCCAGAAAATATTTTTAGATTGCAAATATTTTTAGATAATAATCATTTAGTGATACTAGTCTTACCAATTAACACATAGTTAGCGGTGAAGTGTATTTGAGCGTAAGTGAATATAACAAAATCAACTGAAATTGAAACTCGGCTTTCCGATTAAGAATCTCGAGACAATATCAAATTACACCACCTGCACATCCAAGCTTACACTACCTGGTATTCCCAAGCGTTCACCAATCAATGTACGAACCAGGCTCAAGGTTGCTTAACTTAAGCGATCTAACAGGAACTAGTGTTTCAACACTATATGACCATAAGCCTAATAATAATCTTGGTAAAATATGTGTTCAAATAGGTAATAATAGCACAAACTGAGATAAATTTACTGTCAAAACTAAAAGCTAGTTTCGCTGACCATATTTTAATGAGATCTATTCTCACAGCTGTAGCCTAATTGAGATGTTATAATATTTATGCCTAAATCTTGCGATTTTCGATAAATCTTCGCGTGCTGATTTTCAAGGCAAAAGTGAATCTTTTCTAATTGGAAGATTGAAAATACAGACTATTTCTATCCTTAATTAGCCCCGAACCAGATAAACATAAGCTTAACAAATAGCCAACATTATAAGTTTGCCTAAGTTTGATGCAATAAATGGGTTTAATTTCTGATGTAATGCAATAACCAGTCACCCCCACGAATGATTACACTATAGGTAGCAAGTACCTATAAAGTCAACCGTCCAGCTCTCTCACACCTCCCTCCATTTAAAAACTATGATTCTCTTTGGAAACATTACTAGGGAAGATATTTATCCATATTCATTTCCGAATATTTCGCAAATTTGAAAGACAAAGCAGGTATCAGTCTTGAGGTTTAAATTCGAGATTTTCTCTACGCATGCCCGTATAAAATAATCTCGTTTTGTATCCTTACACTCCCCATCACGCGCGAGCGCACATATGTATGCGTTTGAGTCGTTATACCACCGTCTGCGCATGTGTATGGATTTGTTGTCTGCGCATGTGTATGGATTTGTTGAAATCACGTAAATCTGTCAAGTTAGGAGTGCCTGTCCAGAAGATCAACATTCGAAACCCTGAAGTTTATAATGAATTATAGAATATTATTCTAATACGACTACGAAATATCAAAGACTGTATTTCAAAATATTGAACAACTTTCGCGTTAATACAGGTCTTTGATAGTACTTACATTGTCATTGGTTATACTTTCGTTGTCTTTGGTAATACTTTCGTTGTCTTTGAGATTCTGGATTTTACCTCGACTTATGCAATAATAATTATTATACTATTCGTTTTAACAAAATATCGAATATACAAGTTTGGAAAAAATAAAGATTAAGTTAGATATGATTATATTTGATTTTCTGAACTGGCTGGCTTTCGTAACTCAAAACATGGTATTAGACAAATTTCCAGTAGTACTAGTAGTAATAGTTTCTAACAGTATCTATCTAAATATTTATAGTTTTAAGAGGTACTATGCTAAAGACATCAGGCTTTCAATAGTACCAGTTTAAATATTTCAGGTTTTTAATACTATCTATATAAAGTCTTTCGATGTCCAGAAGTACCTGTTTAAATGCTCCATTTTTCCAGTTGCACCTGTATAAAAACTTTAGGTTTCTAATAGTATCTGTCTGAATACTTCATCTTTTGTAGTAATACCTGTCCAAATATTTCAGTTTTCGAAGTAGTACCTTTTCTAAATATTTCATCTAAAGGTTGAATCAGTCTAAACATTTCAGATTTCGATTTAGTACCTATCTAAATATTTCAATTTTGGGGGTAGAACCTGTTTAAATATTTCTGTTTTTGAAGTAGTACTTATCTAAATATTTCAATTTTTGAGGTTGAACCTGTTTTAATACTTCAGTTTACGAGGTAGTGACTGTCTAAATGTTTCAGTTTTCGGGATAGAACCTGTTCAAATATTTCAGTTTTCGATACAGTACCTCACTAAATAATTGATGACCACAGTAGTACCTGTCTAAATACTTCAAGTTTTCATTATTACTTGCCTCCAGGTTTACCTTGACTTAGATGATATTAATTCAAATTTTTTTTTGGTACTTGCCTCCAGGTTTTCTTTGACTTAGATATTATTTCAAATATTATTCGTATTAACAAAATATTAGCAGCATGGAGCGAATAAATAATAAGGATATAGGGTTAGATTTGATGTTCCTGAAAGATTGATTTTCGTAACTCAAAACATTGCGTTAGACATATTTCGTGTTGTACGTGTCGAAGTACTTCTGATTCACAGTTGTCTGTATAAATATTTCAAGTCTTCGGAAGTACATTTATAAAAACTTCAAATTACTTTAAAAAATAGTAGTATCGGTCTAAATACTTTAGGCTTTCAATAGCACCTGTCTAAATACTTCAGGTTTCGAATAATACCTGTGTAATTACTTCAGGTTTCCAGTAGTACCTGTCCAAAACAATTCTATCAAGTTGAGTTAATTCACTCAACAAAATCTTACGGTGTCTTTCTTGATTAATGCTGTGAGTATACCAGATGTATAGAAAAACCTAAGCCATTGTCGATAACAGTTTCACTTGTCAAATCATTTCTTTTTCTTTCGATCTTTGTCTCCCTGTCTCTTCCTTCACTTAATTTTTATTTCCGTTTCTCGTGATGGATTCTGTCCAACAAAGCCTTTGTATTCGCATCGTTTGGTAGTCATTTTTCTATAGACAGTTTGACTGCTATCGTCCACCATAGTTCCTGTCAAATGCGGAATAATATCACAGCGAGCCTGCCAATCATTTGGCAGCAATATCAACAGGATGAGGAATCAATGTCTGTACAAATGAATTAAATATTTTGAGAACATCTTCTCGTCATTAATATAAAAGGGCCAGCAGGTAAATCATCCATCGCTTGGAGATAAGCTGGTGACATTAATCAAAATCTAATATATGCACATTTACATAAATTTAATAGATGTTGTATAACCAGAGAATGAATATCGTCAGAGAGGAAGAAGTGCCTGTTATAAATATTTAGACGGAATAAATTTGATATTTTAATTTTTGTTCTTATCATCATTAGAATAATAATAATAATAATAATAATAATAATAATAATAATAATAATAATAATAACTGGTATGAACACCACCCAGACCCGGTTACGGAGATAGGACCTGTTACAATTCTATGGGACTACACAATACACACTGACAGAACAATCAAGGCCAACCGCCCAGATATTGTTATTAAAGACCATAAACAAAAACGGTGCCTCCTTATTGATATGGCAGTCCCTGCCGACTGCAATGTATCTTTGAAGATATTCAAAAAGTTGTCAAAGTACAAGGACCTTGAAATAGAAATCGCGAAAATGTGGCATATGGGAACATCAACAATCCCTGTTGTAGTTGGAGCCCTAGGACTGGTTGGAAAAGATTCCAGTAGACTAATTGAAGGGATACCTGGAAGTCCATGCCTCAAGGAGATACAAAAAATTGTTCTGACAAGTACAGCCCCACACCTTACGAAGGGCTTTATCTATGTAATTTTTTTTTTTTTTTTTTTTGTCAGTGGAAAGTGTCATGACGCCATTTCTAACCTTAGGTCCCTTCAAGGACCCGGAAAGAAAATGTAAACGCCAGAAATCAAAGAAAATAAAAATAATAATAATAATAAAAAATAATAATAATAATAATAATAATAATAATAATAATAATAATAATAATAAAATACAGACAAAGAAAATGAAAGAGACGCTAATACGATGATGGGCCAATAAGTCTGTTTATAAAACATATTTATTAGTTGCTTTTTGATCTTAAATGTTCCCTGTATAATGACTTATCTATATGATGGATGTTCACCAAATAGTTAAATGTATTGACTAGGTGAATATATTATACAATGAACATTTTTTTATTATTATTTCAAACGTTATTTTTAGTAGATATCTGTATTTGAAATAGAGAGCACATTTTCTTTACTAAGATTTTTGAGAACGCAGGCCGATAGACGTAATATACTTTTAAAAAAATAAAAACGAGGCTTCTCTTTCGAACGCAGTCATCAGCTAAAAATAACGTTTAATAGTAATATGTCGGATTAAAAATAAATTGATTATTTCTTTAGAAATTGCATTGTTTACGTTTCGGAAACGAAACTGAGCAGGCAGGGGCTTTCAAGAAAAAAAAAATCTGAAAGGGGAATTGTGCATTCTTTAAAAGGAATAATAGAACATTGTTGGGCAGTAGTCGGACGATCAAACGGCGGTTTCAACTAAAACGGGGTACAGGTTCAAACCCTAGCGGAGAACATTTTCAGTATTACGATTTCTGCAATGCGTAGGCCGATAGACGCAATAAAATAAGTATTTGTGTAAAAAAAATAATTTTCATCATTTATCATGCAGAATTAATCATATATTTAATGCTAAAGTTAATTCAATGTAAAACTCGAGAGCCACTCAAGGTAGAGGGTTATTAATAAAATGATTATGATGAAGGAATTATGTGTTATTAATATTAGATGAGGTGGTAAGAAGTGAAAATTATGAGAATAGTGTGGTTGAGATAAAGATTGAAACTTTTCTTGAAGAAGTGTTCAGGGAAAAAAAAAACATGAAGAAATTTTATTCTATAAAGTCCCAGTTCTTTGGAAAAACTGTCGGTCTGGGTATTATCTCCTTGAACTCGAAATAATGAGACAGATTTGTGTCCGTAGAAGCAGCATCACGTATCTTAAATATAAATGGTGAATCTAAAGAATGGGACTTATTTGAACATTTATCATAGAAATTTTAACAGCCTTGCGACGTTGCATCTGTAGGAAATATGTCATCCCCGACAAGACCACGTAAACAAAGCAGGACTGGGAAGATTGAGCAGCTCCAGATCATGTATGGCAGCAATACATTTCCCGGAGAGATAGAATGAGACGAGGATTTTTAAAATTTTTCCTATGTGTATATATATAAAAATATATATTGTTTTTCTGACGAACATTGTCAAAGAAAAAAAATATAATAGAGCTATAAATTGAAGGAACATTTTTCTTCTTTTACACTATATTTCTCTGTCCCTCTCTCTCTCTCTCTCATTCTTCCTTTCTCACACAATCTTTTTATCTTTCTCACAAAACCATTCTCACTCATTCTTAGGCAATTTATCACTTCCCTCCTCTCTCTTTCTCTCTCTCTCTCACACACACACACGCATAAAGAAACGAATCAACAATCACGTATATAATCACACAAATAGCCAATCTCAAAGAAAAGAGATATAAAAAAATATATTTGTAATTTTTGTGAAAA